TTTTCGTACTTTGTCAAAATAATCTACAGATTTCTAAGTTTATTGCAGTACACATATGGGCACAAAAGAGTAAATACTTTTCCAGGCAGGAAATGGGAAAGGAAAAATATGGAAAAGATTAGAAAGGGTCATGGGTTTAATTTTTTTCATTTTTTATTGTGATTAAAAACAACATAAAATTTACCATCTTAACCATTTCTAAGTGTACAGTTCTGTAGTGTGAAATATATTCACATTGTTTTACAACCAGTCTCAAGAACTTTTTCATCTTTCAAAACTTCCCCCCCACCCCTCCCGCCACTGGCAACCACAGTTCTGAGGTAGGTAGATAAATATCTGTCTCTATGAATTTAACTATTCTAGGAACCTCATATAAGTGGAATCATACAGTATTTGTCTTTTCATGACTGGCTTATTTCACATAGCATGTCTTCAAGGTTTGTCCAATTTGTAATATGTGTTATAATTTCCTTCCTTTTTAAGGCTGAATAATATTCCATTTTATGTGTATACCTTATTTTGTTGATCCGTTTGTCTGTCAGTGGACTCTTGGGTTGCTTTCACCTCTTGGCTATTTTGAATAGTGCTGTTATGAACATGGGTATGCGCATATATTTTTGAGATCCTACTTCCAATTATTTTGTATATATACCCAGAAGTGGAATTGTTGGATTATGTCTGGGTTTGTTTGCTTTTTTTCCCATTGACATGGAAGGTCGAGATCTAATTGAACTTAAAAAATAAAAAATATTTTTAGAAGAAAAATTATAATTAGTTAAATAAATGAGTAAAAAAATAACTTCCCAGCTTTTTGGGTTAAGTCACCCAACTTTTTAAAGACTTGAGTTGTTNGTTGTTCATTTTTCTGTCTTTACATCAGTACCACTAAGTAAAACTGTCATAGTTACCATAGTTACTACAGCTTTTTTTTATAAGTTTGGGAGAGTAATTTTTCTTACCTTTTCTTCTTTAATATTGCCTTGACAATTCTTGGTCTTTTGCAAATACATATACATTTTAGATTTGTTAGTTCTCTGTTGCCTTCACATAGACTTGTTTATATTTTATTCTTTTTAAGAGCACAATCTAGAATTTGCACTTATTACTTCCACCTACGTCTGAGTGGCCAGAATATTATCACATGACTATATCTATCTGTAAAGGAGGCTTAATATATAGAGTCTTTAGCTTGTTGGCTATTGGTCCGGCTAAAACTATTACTGTGGCAGAAGAGAGAATGGAAATTGAAAGATAGCTAGCAGTTTGCTATAACATTTGAGATTCTTTTGAACCAAAAGCAGTCTCATAGTTTTTAACCCTTCTCCCCCATCTCCATTGTGGCTACTTTGTACTTTGAAACTTCTCTGGCTTTCCTCAATTACATGATCCCACGGTATGAAACATGGGCTCTATAGATGGTTCCTTCTATGTTCAATAGGTGCATAAATGTCTGGGGACTACCCAGCCCACAGGGGTAATGAATTAATTGAGTACATTTATATGTGTGGCCCTAAATAGTTATTTCACACAAGGACTCTGACTGTTCCTGTATGAAGTGTTTTTGCAATATGTAATTGTGT